CAAACTTTAGTTATGTCAAAAAATTTGAATTCCCTAAGTAGGCCTTGAAATTATCAGATAGTCATATGTTTTCCTGACCTTATTCGAGATGGGATTCCAAAAAAAAAAATTGCATGTTGTCATAGTTACTTATTCTCCTCTACAAGATAACGTAGTAAAATTTTCAATTCAACATTTCTTCTTTCGACTTCCATGACCAACTTTGTTCTGTCATATCGGCGCTATATTTGAATTTAGTCCATTTAAATGGACCTTTCAGTCCTAAATTCAGCGATGTATTAGTTAGCCATGAATTTTTTGTTAGATGAAAACTATAAGGAGGTATGGTGAAATTTTGTTGATGGTAACAACAACAATAAATAATCATAAATAAGCAAAAGTAAATCATAGCAGATGTTCAAAATGTAATACGTTAGGCCTGACTTATCTATGTACATTGTTCACTGCTCGATTTATGTCTCTTCTTCTCAGTCTTTTAAACTCTGTTGCTATGTTCAATTGGAGGTCTGGTCTCATATATGAAATCTGATAGTTTCAAAGTTTATCTACCTTAGGAACTCCCATTTTTCTATAATAATTAAGGTTTGATAGTGTCAATGTATGACTTACGAGAATTTTACAGTTCTGAAATCAGACGAAACAAGAGCCTAAAAGTCATATTGAAATTCTATTTATGCCATCTGGTAAGGGATAAAAATTGGCAAGGCAATAGACATTTAATTTATTGTTTAGTACCATCGGAAATAACGTAGGAAAAAACATAACAGTGATTTAGATAACTATCTGATAATTTCACGGCCCACTTAGGAAATTCTTCTTTTTTTGAAATAACTAAGGTCAATGTATGACGTATACATTTTTAGAATCAGAATTAAAAGCTCTATTGACCTGTGCAAAAATCCAATATGGCGTCAATAAAAAAAATAAAATTGATGCTGGAGGACAACAGACGAAACGTTTACTCTATATAGAAAAAACATAAATGACACAAAAATCACGGATTTATCAACGCCCAAGTCAAATATTTCAAGAATGGGAAGGTGGATTTTTTCCAAAACTCGTCTGCCTAGCGGCGATTTGCTCAATTATGCAAGTCACACAACGTTTGGATTTGCCGTTAACAGTTATTGAGGTGTTCTGGCTAGGTAATAGGTAAACCATACTGAATTTGTATCTATATGGGAAGGGAAGGTAAAACGGCATACTTAAGAAAAAAGAGTCATACCAGTTACAAAATCAAATCATAAAACTAAAAAGTATTTCTTATTCTATCGAATGAATTGTTTAGACTTCAAACAAAACATACGAATAACAGGATATTAGATGATTACCAATCATTTGGTCTGTTCTTCCTGCATGTGAAAGTAAAACGGACTGCCGTTCAAGACAAAATCTAAATGAGATTCACATCTTTCACAAATGAACTAGCACTAGGGTTTTCGTCTTCATCGTCAACACCATCGCAATTACAGTGTGCCCACATGTTGCATATTTGACGCTGCATCTAGCCTTCGTTGGACTCTGAATATGGTGGGAGCAATAAAAACACTGTGCATCTTCATTTTTTTTTATCTGACGAACCTCTTTCTTTTCCCTTCCATTTGCCCTTAGCTCTATCCTTGCTTTTGCTTTTCTTGAATTTTTGTTTTGTATCGTCCAAAGCTAGTTTTCTTTTGATCTGATTGCCTTTAATGTTTTAAGTTGACTCGGCTAGCTCTTAAATGAAACTGAGATTCACGTCTTTCACAAATGAACTAGCGTATTCGTCTTCATCATCAATACCATCGCAATTACTGTGTGCCCACATGTTGCATATTTGACACTGCATCCAGCCTTCGTTGGACTCTGAATATAGATTCGAGCAATAAAAACACTGTGCATCTTTATTTTCTACATCTGACTAACCTCTTTCTTTTCCCTTGCCTTTGCCCTAATCTCTGCCGTTGCCTCTGCTTTTCTTGAATTTTTGTTTTGTATCGTCCAAAGCTAGTTTTCTTTTGATGTGATTCCCTTTAATGTTTTAAGTTGACTCGGCTAACTCTTAAATGAAACTGAGATTCACGTCTTTCACAAATGAACTAGCGTATTCGTCTTCATCGTCAACACTATCGCAATTACTGTGTGCCCACATGTTGCATATTTGACACTGCTTCCAGCCATCGTTGGACTCTGAATATAGATGCAAGCAATAAGAACACTGTGCAACCTCTTTCTTTTCCCTTGCCTTTGCCCTAATCTCTGCCCTTGCCTTTGCTTTTCTTGAATTTTTGTTTTGTATCGTCCAAAGCTAGTTTTCTTTTGATCTGATTCGCTTTAATGTTTTAAGTTGACTCGGCTAGCTCTTAAATGAAACTGAGATTCGTCTTCATCGTTCAACACCATCGCAATGACTGTGTGCCCACATGTTGCATATTTGACACGACATCTAGCCTTCGTTGGACTCTGAATATAGATGCGAGCAATAAAAACACAGTGCATCTTCATTTTCTTCATCTGACAAACCTTTTTCTATTCCCTTGACTTTGCCCTTAGCTCTGCCCTTGCATTTGCTTCTCTTAAAGTTTTGTTTTGTATCGTCCAAAGCTAGTTTTCTTCTGATCTGATTCACTTTAATGTTTTCACGTCTTTCACAAATGAACTAGGGTCTTCGTGTTAATCGTCAACATCGTCGCAATTACTGTGTGGCCACATGTTACATATTTGACACTGCATCCAGCCTTCTTTGGACTCTGAATATATACTAAGTGACATATAAATCCGAACACCCAGTTTAAATGGTTTTATTTTAATAAAAGTTGGTGAATGCATTTATCTTACTGTAAACAACAAGTGAAAAAATTTTCAGCCTTATCAGTTGGACATTCCGGTTTTTATACTGTTTTTTTTTAATTCACTAACGCTCTAAAAATGAATATTTCAGCCGCAGTAAAGAATCAACGTTGGCGGATTTAGGTTCTTGACATCCTTTACGATCGGTTACGATGCCCAGAGTACGGAGACCTGTACGATTTCGTCAACTTAGTGAGTTTGATAGGGGCCGTATAGTGGGACTTCGGGGAGCTGGACTTTCTTTTCGGGCAATTGCAGTTAGAGTGCAAAGAAGTGTAGACACTGTGGTTAGGTGTTGTCAGGCATGGCTTCGAGAAGGCCGTACGCAAAGAGCAAGGGGCACTGGACGCCGCTGTAGAACAACAGACCGTGAAGATCGCCGCCTAAGATTATTGGCCTTAAGGGACCGTTTCTCCACTACCAGGTCCATTGCAAATGAATGGTTTGCAGAACTCGGAAGACCTATTGGCATGGGAAGTGTTTACCGACGAATGAGAAGTTTTGGCTTGTTTTCATACCGGCCACACTGGGTCCTCCCTTTAACTCGAGAACACCGACGTAATCGCCTTGAGTGGTGCAGACAACGGTCACTCTGGGATCAGGAATGGAACAGTATTGTCTTTAGTGACGAGTCTCGATTTTGTTTAGGCATGCACGATGGTCGTGCCAGGGTTAGAAGGCGACGTGGTGAAAGGAGGAATCCATTGTTTTTTGTTGAAAGACATGTTCATCACACTGTTGGAGTTATGGTTTGGGGTGCTATAGCTTATGGTTCCAGGTCATTATTAAAGATCAAAGGGCTTTAAAGCAGTGCAATCATTTTGAAATTTTTATCATTTACTTATTATGCTTCATTAAGTACTTATACAACATTTTATTAAAATAAAACCATTTAAACTGGGTGCTCGGATTTATATGTCACTTAGTATACATATACACGCAAGAATTCAGATGAAATCTTAATACTCGAACATATTCTCTGCTTCACATCTCTTGTTCACTAGTATACTCTATAGCAGAGTTCCCCAAACTTTTTTGTGTCGTAGACCCCTTTGCCATGTTTTTCCGTGTGTCCTACTTACCTGATATTGATTTCCTGTAAATTTCTAACTATAGTGAAGTTTAGTGTTAAAAACTTAAAGTAAAAACACATGTTAATTTATACATTTATTAATTGAATTTAAATTAAAACTACTCAAAATAAAATTTTGTATCTGTTATGGAAAATATACGCAACATTAAATAAACAGGTCTCTGACCAATAAGTGACCGCATTGGGAATAAGTGCCCGCATTGAAAAAAAAATAAGAGGGATAAAATAAAAAAAAGTAAATAATAATAAAATAGTTCATTTATTAATTATAACATAAACGTACCTACGTTCTACAATAATTTCACTGTTAGTTTGATTAAATTCAGCTTCTTATACGTTTAAGTTATCTAAAAATAGGCAAAAAATTAACCAATTTTAGTGTGTACCTATCCTTGAATTTTCAGAATAATTTAAAAAAAATATTTTCTATAAAGAGAGGTTCTTTAAAAAAATCAATGCGGCACTTATTCCCAATGCGAGCATTTATTGGTCAGACACCAATAAACATAAAATAAACTATAAATAAAATAACATAAGCAATAAGTCAATATTTTTAGTGAGAAGGATGAACCTGATGCTTTAATAATAAATTATCAACATTTGGCGTCAATTTTGTAAGGGTTAATCTTAAATCTCCTCGGCTAATGATGTCCAGTCTGTTTCTTTTTTTCGTTAGGAGATTGGTAACAGCGCTGAACCCGTTTCCACTAGGTATGACGATGGAAAGGAAATTAAAAATTTCCTCGCTATATTCCATAATACGGGATAAGTAACGGGTATGTTGTTTTGCAGCCAGAATTGCTGATATCCGTTTTTAAACTGAACCTTAAGTTCTTCATTTGTACTTAGTTCAGTCAGTTCCTATTGTATTATGACATTCGTTTCTTCTGTCACCATATGGATTAATTAACCACGGTGGTATTACCATAGTTAAAATATCCTCAAACCTAGATTCAAAATCTGAGTAGAGGGCATTTAAATGTTGAACGTAAGTTGAAACGTCGTCTTCCTGGCAGCTTGTCTGTGATAAATTGGGGAACTGAGAAAATTCGCCCCGTCCAATATTTTGCTTCATTAGTTAAACTCTGGCAAGAAACGCTGATAAGATGGACTTTGTTTCAATCAAATTTAAAATGTCGCCTTGTAATTGCAAATTAACCATATTAAATTTTGTAAACAAATCTGTTAAATAGGCGATGTCTGTTTTCCTCTTCATTAAATTTTCTTTTAAAATTTTATCTTTAGTATCCAGAAATTCTAAAATAGTCTCAAAAAGTGCAAAAAATCTTGTCAAACATAAGCCTTTCGACAGCCAGCGTACTTCAGTGTGAAGGAGTAATTGATGAAAGTGTTCGTCATTTTCTTCACACAACTGCGCAAATAACCGCGTATGCAATCTGACACTCAAATTTTTAGCATCTAAATGTTGTCGATGGATGACGCAATGTTTTGCTAACACCCCTGACACATTTTGTTTTAAATAGCTTATAAATCCAGGATAACGTCCAACCATGGCAGGTGCTCCATCTATAGCTACTGATATTATATTTGATAAAGGAATTGCTTTTTCTATGAATGAATCCTTTAAAACAAGAAATTATGATTCACCTTTAGTGTCGGTTATCAAAGTTCTTGCGAAGAGCAGTTCTTCGTAGATTTCTTGATTCATAATAAAACGAACATATGCCAATAATAATGCTGCATTATCAGGTAAAGTTGACTCGTCCAGTTGTACAGAGGAATGGGTCGTTTGCAAATAATTACATAAGAAGCTTTCAATATCAGAACTCGTTTCATCCAATAGGCCTTTGAACAGAGTTGTTGCTTAAGGGAATTCTTTTAATGATATCAGATGCAGGTTTGTGTAAAACAGTTTTCAAAACCTCTTCAACGGCTGGCAAAATTAACTTCTCTCCGATAGTATGCGGTTTTCCGGATTTTGCTATAAGTAACGAGATCTTGTAAGACGCCCGCAAACCATCATAATTTCTTTGTGACGTCGAAGCGAACATTCTGTCCAGTGTAGGTCTCTTCTGAAATTTATCTTTGAGTGTTTGAAAGTATTTCAAATCTTTCTCTGTTTTATCAGAGTGGCATCTTCTCAGATGATCTTGCAGTTTAGATGGTTTCATAGCGTCATTGCCCAAAACTTTGTTGCATAAAAGGCACATAGGCGATTGTTTGTCTGGCAATGATGGAATGAAGCCAATTTTCCGAAGACATTCCATAATTCGAACAATCAGTAGGAAAACTTCATTTTATTGATGGAAATGTGGATACAAACAAATATTTGGCAATTTTAGAAGAATCTCTTTTTCACCAGTGATGGAAGAATGTTTGACATTCGGCCAAGGTTTTGTGTTTCAGCAAGATGGTGCAGCGTGCCATACCTCAAAAAAGGCTATAAAATGGATGGAAGGAAATAATGTACCACTTTTGAAATGGGTTTCTAGCAGTCCAGATCTGTCACCTATTGAAACTTTGTGGCACGAGATGAAAAAGGTTCTACGACAACATCCTGCTCGTACAGTCACAGAACTGAGACAAAAGCTTCAAGAAATATGGGATTGTTTTACACCAGATTTTTGCCTAAACTGGGTTAACACTATGCCCCAAAGAATTTCAGAGGTAATAGAAAATAAAGGTGATGTTACCCAATGTGAGTTGCAGCATCTAGGCAACATAGTCGTTAAGCCATTCCTCCACAGGTGGCGCTTGTAACTAGTAGGTACGAAATGCACTAGCGGCTTCTTAGTACACTAGTTGATATTATGCCAATTTTAGATTTAGAAGCACGATGATGAAGATAGAGCAATAGTCCCCATCGAAATGTCATGACTTAATTATCTTGTCGTGCACCATAAAGTTCCGTAGAGCACAAGTAATGTATTTATTACGAAACACTGTGCAATTATTTTTCCATTGTATCACCGGATATTATAGAAATGCACCAAAATGTCCAGCAGAGCAAAGTCCGTAAATAGTAAAATTTCGTCATATTGGTATTTATAGGTCCATTCACGGTGTTTGGTGGGCCAAAATACAGGAATTATCCTCATATATCCATCTCCCACGCACATAAATGTGCATACGATTTCCATGCGCGGACATTTGTTTTAGGTAAACTAAAAGACATACGTTTTTTAGCTTTGTCTCACCGCCGTGAAAATTTTCCTGTCAACGTGTCCCACATCTATGCGTATCACTGTCAGAAGGACGCCTTTGTCATGTGCGCGTAACTTGTATTTACCCAAGTTGATTTTCAATATGAAATATAGTCAGTGCCCGAAGATACAATGTCGACAGTCTGTATAAGAAGTATATTCAGAAAATGAGTGAATATAACGTTCCTCTATCAGACAATTCATTATAGATCGGCTTGAAATGTGCTGTTTTACTGAGAGAAGTTAAGCTACGCACATGGTACCGTTAGTCAATCTGCTTACTTATTTCAGAAGGCATTATGACGTAAATGCCAAAAACCGTGAAAAGAACTACAAGTCTCCTGATCAGATGAGCCTAACATTGCTATCGACACTATTGAAGACACGGGTGGATGAAGGTGCTATCTAAGATTTTTCTAAGCACCGTTTTTGCTGTATGGATGAAGGTACTATGTATCTATTTTTCACATGGCTCCATTAGAATTCTAGGATCCATAACAGATGTCTAGATTTTTACGTGTGATAATGTTACATTATTTTCCACTAAAGACTAGAAGAAGGTGTTATAGGCACAAAATATCTTAATCCACATTATACGTAATATTACCCCTTCATCCAATCACTGGCCATTTTGTTTTACTTCTTTAGTCGGTATTGTGCGGGAGTGTTCTGTGTTAGTATTTTACTAATTAATGCAAGTTAACATTTAAAATGGGCTCCAGGGGTAAACAAATGTTAAAGCTAGTGTAGGGACAAAAAAGCTGTGGAGACATAATATGTCAGTTACTAATAGAAAATAAGTTATTTCTGATCTTGCTGCTCAGAAAAAAATGGCCAAGACAAAAGTTGCAGGATTAAATTTTGTGATAACACTGTGAAGAACCTCCTATGGAATGGTAGACCAACTGAATTAATTGTTTTTTTGTCTAGTTGAAAATGCAGAGAATTGGCTTAAAATCATTTAAGAAAGGCATACTGATGTATATATTGTTTATTCGGCTACTCTCCAACAGATGGCGCTGCATATCGGTAGTCAACACAAAGTCCACCGTTTTGAACTACTACCTTGGCCTGCTGAAATTCGTTCAGTAAGTCCCAATGCATGCTAGGAGGATGCTTTGTTGTGCAACAAAACCAAATCGATACGTAATATTAGATAAAGCAAACCAATCCAAACAAAAGAATCCTGTCCTCAAAATATGCGGGAGATTTTTAACCCCCCGTCACTGAACCGGCCGGACCCGCCGCCCCTAGATTTTTGACTAGTTAAATTTGTTGCGACCTGTGATAACACTTTACAAAGAACCTGTTTCTATGGGATGGTAGCCCAGCTGAACAAATCGTTTTTTTCGTGGCAACGCTTGAGGGGAGTTAAAAATCCCCTCGTTTTTTGATGAACATCAAATAGATCCTAAAAATAATAACAAAAATCCCACCGTTAGTCGAGGCAGTACGGCCAGCCAAGTAACTACTTTTTATTTTTATGTGTTTCTTAAAATTAGTTATAGAAAGCGATTTGAAGTTATCGTCTACATCATTTCAATGGACTTATACAGGGTGTTTTCAAAGTTGAGTCGTTTATTTTAACAGCTTGTAGAACTCCTATACACCTATATAAAAGTTGCATAATAAGAGAGTAATAAATTATAAATTATTTGAAAAAAATCATTACCGTTTTTACAATAACTGTTCAAAATTGCCCCCATTTGCTCGATTAACGCAAAATCTTGCTCGGCGATTCCACGACTCTTCAGAAGCTTTGAAAATGAAATCCTGGTGTCAACGAATTAAATCACAAGTATTTTCAGTGCGCTGTTAAAGTTCTTCCAGAGTACTTACTGCTCCATCATGATACACCATCTCTTTCAAATATCCCCACAGAGAAAAATCGCAAGGCGTTAAGTCCGGAGAGCGAGCAGGCCAAGTTAGATGTTCATGAACTTTTCGTCTAGAATGTGGTGGAGCCCCGTCATGTAGGAACCACATATTCTGTCTCGCATTTAGAGGAACATATTCTAATAATTGTGACAGATTGTGTCGAGGAAAATCTAAATAAATTTCACCGGTCAGCTGAGGTGGAAAAAGGTAGGCTCCAATAAGCTTGCCATTTACCACGCCAGCAGAAACATTTATTGAAAATCTATGTTGAAAATGAGTTCTTTTTACAACACTCCATGTCGTGTGGCCTCGTCGGTAATTTCGTAAAATCTTCATTTCTGCCGAACTGTTATAAAAGTCACTGGCAAAATGCAACTCCTCCAGGATGATCTTCAGGTTGTAACGCTTGTAAAGGTTGATAATGATAAGGATAATACTGTTCTTGTCATATTGTCTTAAACACTTTACTACGACAAACTTCAACTTGAGCTGCTAAGCCTCTAGTACTCATAGTTGGGTCGTCTTCGACCATTTCTAAAAGGTCTTCCTCAATTTGTAACATTTCACGTTGAGCAAGTCTTCTAGCGTGACATCCTCGTTGTTCGTTTATCGCTCTTCACAATCGGCGATTACAATCGATTACGCGCGAGCACGATCGTGTAGAGGCTGTACTCGCCGATCATCGTCTATGATCGCCTTCGACCCGTGAATTGTCGGTTTTTCGGATACTCATCAAAGGAATCACTGGGTCATATTGATGCTTGCTGTTTGACAAATTACTACGGACGCTCGTGTGGATGCTTGCACGATGATCGTGCCGATTATGAACGATCACACGATCAACGATCATCGCCGATAGTGAAGTGCAGGCATTAAATATCTTGTGTCACGAAGTATAATAACTAAATTTACAGTAATGTTAGTATTTTGCAGTGTGCTGACGATATGCAAAGCAGTTGACTGCCAAATACTCCCAGGATCTAGAATTCAGCAGATAGAAATGTAAGAATAATATTTTATTTACAGGTATAGAAGGCTACCGAAGAATTAGTAGCAACAACAAATTCGGGAATGAGAGCAGCCCGCTGATTGGCAGTTTGCATTTGATGCTGTCACAGTGTGGCTACTCCTACGAACGAATTTTTACTCAACTATAATGTTCAAGATGAGCAGAAATCTGTATTTGTGACGTCACCTTAATAGTTATATTTTTAGTTCCGCCACCTTCCTGTAGATGGCGCCATCATAGCTTCGTATTTAGTAGGATTTTTTGAGTATAGTATTTTCAGAGTTTTATGTTACAGTTTTTAAGGTTTGCCTAGTTGAAAATGTATGGAATTAGCTTTAAATCATTCAAGAAAGGTATATGGATGAAAATATTTTTGATTCGGATACTCTCCAATAGATGGCGCTGCATTTCGGTAGCTACCACAAGGTCCACCATTTTGAATGACTACCTTGGGCTGCCAAAATCCGTTCAGTGAACCCCAATGCAAGCAAGGAGGAGGACGCTTTGTTTTTCAACAAAGCCAAATCTAATACGTAATATTAGAATATAATAAACTAATCCAAACAAAATAGTCTTTTCATCAAAAAATGGGGGGATTTTAACCCCCCTCACGGAAATTTAAGATTCTTGATCATTGAAGATTCGTTGCCATAAAAAGCCACCCAAACCCCGGCCAACCGCCCCTAAAGGATCTTTTTGACTAGTTAAATTTTGTGAGGTCTGTGATAGCACATTACAAAGAAGCGCCATCTATGGGATGGTAGCCCAACTGAACGATTTTTTTTGGTGGCGGCTACTCTCCAATAGATGGCGCTGCATTTCGGTAGCTACCACAAGGTCCACCATTTTGAATGACTACCTTGGGCTCCCAAAATTCGTTCAGTAAACCTCAATGCAAGCAAGGAGGAGGACGCTTTGTTTTTCAACAAAGCCAAATCTATTTTTCAACAAAGCCAAATCTAATACGTAATATTAGAATATAATAAACTAATCCAAACAAAATAGTCTTTTCATCAAAAAATGGGGGGATTTTAACCCCCCTCACGGAAATTTAAGATTCTTGATCATTGAAGATTCGTTG